GTCCCCAAGTTACATTTAGTCACACATCTCCTGAGGCTCCTCTTGACTATGACAGCTTCTCAGGCTTCCTTTGTTCTGACGGGTTGGGGAGGACGAGCCGGGTGTTTGTGGGATTTGTCTGGTTTTTCTCTCGGTCAGGCAGGGTGATGGGGTCTGAGAGCATTTGCCATGTGCTGTTGAGTGGAAGAAGGAGGTAACTCTGGTTTTGACTGGATGCTCACAGCTAAAAGTTTGCCTTGAGTGAAGTTTCAGTGGAGACTTGAATTTGGACTTTTTTTGGGGGGTAGGGATGGAGGACACGGTCTTGATATTTGTAGCCCAGGCTAGCTTCAAACTCAAGATCCTCCTGCCTCAGCCTCTTGAGTGCTGGGATTATAGGTGTGCACCACCTCTCCTGGCTTGTAACTGTTGAGAGACCGTTGGAGAGGGACTGAATGCATTTTGTGTCATGAGCCTTTGGGGGAGAGAGGCAGAATGTTACGGTTTGTGTATGAAATGTCCCCACAGCTCACGTGTCGAAGGCTTGGTCCCCAGCTGGCGGCACGATGGAAAAGTGACGGGGTCGTGAGAGCACTAACAATAAGTGGACTAGTCCATCCAGGAGTGCATACTGAATGGGCTGTTAGGAGGCGGGGCCTGGTGGAGGAAGGAGGTCACTGGGGGGCTCTGAGGGTGTATCATCTTGACCTGGCCCTTCTTTCCCTCCCTCCCTCTCAGCCTCTCTCTCTCTCTCTCTCTCTCTCTCTCTCTCTCTCTCTCTTTCACTCTCTCTCCTGGCCACCAGGAGGTGAGCAGCCTGGCTCCACTATGACACTGCCTCACCTCACACAGGCCTCGACCAAATGACCATGGACTGGGACCTCCGAGACCCCAAGCCAAACTCAATCCTTCTTCTTTCAAGTTGTCTGTCTCGGTATTTGTCCCAGCAGCGAAAGGCTGGTAAGCAGAGAGGAAGGCCACAGAGAGGCTATGGGAGTTGTCACAGTGGTGCTGGCCTTGGTCACCTGGCTGGGCAGGTCTCCACACGGCAGTCTCTCCTCTCTGTCCCCTTTGTGGTGCATCACCCAGCCCACACCAAGGGCGGGGAGTTTCCGCTCCACCTCCTCAGTGGCCAAGAAACCTCCATAAGTTGTTTGGAATACTTCTGCACTGGGGACTCGCTCTTCTCTGCCATTTGCTTATTTATTCAATCTTTTATTTATATGAGCATCAACTCTATAATCCAATTACTGCTTTATTTATTTTGCTGCAGTGCATACCGTTCCTGCTTTGGCTGCCGGGACTCTTGAGGATTCCCGTGCCCCTCCGACAAGACTTCTTCATTAGACTTTTGGTTTTTATTTCCTTAGCATCTCTTTAATTTTTCTTTCTTGCACCTAAGGCCCCAGGCTCATCTTGTGTAGCTCCTGCTCCAGAGCTAGAACCGGCCCTCTCTCCATGACTCACTGGTCCTTGTCTGGGAGAACAGTCAACAACTGCAACCTGGGTGTCAGGCGCTCATTGCTACCAGGATGTCTCTCTCAGCTGACGGCAAGAACACTGCGGGAGGATCCTCGCTGACCGTGTGGACAAACACACAAAGCTCCACACATAACCATCTGTGTGGCACTCAACACGGAACACTGCTCACGTCTCCAACTCCAAGCCATCGCCACATGGGTGGCTCTGTGTTCCCCCTTTGCTTGTCTGTGTCTCCTGCCCCAGCAGGGACGTGCCCAACAGCCACCGTGCTGAATGTCCAAATCCAGTCTGCAGTAATGAACCACCTTACCAGCCTAAGCAGTGCTCCTGGGTGGCTCCCTTTGCCTCCGTAAGTCCAGCCTCTACCCATTGCCAAACTACCAGGTCAGCATCTCTGTCCTGTCCCATCAGAAAGGACATTTCCCCCATCTGTGGCACAGGCAGACTGTGCGCTGTCACACCTGCCATCCAGCCTGGAATTCCCTGAACTCCTAAAGAACTTGAGGAGTGTGTGAGACAGTCACTGGTTGTTCTATGAATTTCCGTGGTTTTAACAGGTGCATCATGGCTCAGTGTCCCCTAATCCAGGACACCATGGAATTGTTCATTTTTAGGTTTCACCTACTCAGCCTGGACCCCAGGTAACCAGGAAGCAGTTTGCCGTTCTCTGTGGTTGTGCTGTTTCCAGAATGCTACTACCTAAGCAGACCAAGTCTAGACAGCCTTCCTCCTTCTTAACCTTCTTTCATTTCGTAACATGCATTTAGGATTCACAGAAGCTTTTCCACGACTCAACGGCTTGCTCCTTTTACTGCTGAGTCCACTCCGCGAGATGGACATACCTCTTCCACTCACCTGTTGAAGGACTTCTGGGTCACTTTCAGCTCCGGACAACTAGGAATAAAGTGGCTACAAATGCAACTGCATGGAATTTTCGAAGGACCTAAACTTTCAGACCAGCAGGGCACAGGCCTTGGCACATGATCGCTGGACGACGTCGAGCTTTATAAAACCTTCTACACAGCCGTGTCCTCAGCCTTGGTGCATGGGTTGGGGACACCGGAGGAGCCTCCACTGCAGTTGTCTCTCCTTGCTGAGCCTCAAATACCCATACTGAGGGTCTAGAATTTGGGTCCTACCCACCTTGGGGCTGTGGCAGCAAAGGGGAAGGTGAGGCCCACAGGTCTCTCTTTTCCAGTGCTTGGCTCCCACTTGTGCCCTTTCCCAGCCTGGGCTCCATCTCTAGCATCCCAGCCTCCTTGGTTGTGCGGTTGTCACTTACCTGTGCAGCCACCTTCCTTTGAGGCTGTAAAGGCCTCAAAGGCAGGCCAGGGGTAGCTTTTGTCCCCAACACTGTCCTGGGAGTGGAGGCCTGCATTCCAGCCTGCTCTCCTGGACACATTTCTTGCCTGAGCAAAAGGCTAACTAGAGATTACTCATCTCTGCTGTAAGGGCTCAGGCCAGGTGTGACCTCCTTAAGCCGTCAGGAAACAATGCTCACACAACTCTCACCCATGCATAGATGGCAAACTGAGGCCAGTGAAGGAATGTTTTCTGTTCTACCCAGCTGGGCTTCCTGACTCTCACACTGGGTGGATGGGGGACCACTGCTCCCAGACAGGTTGGGCCAGACACTGGCAGCTGCTGGTGCAGAGCGTAGGGGCATGAAGGCCCATCTCCAGCCAGTGCTCAGAGGACACAGCTTCTCTTCACAGCATCCAGGGCCCTGTCAGGTGGGTTTCCCAGTATGGCTCTCACAAAACCCACAGCACCTGCCCCATTTCTAGGGGGTAAGGGCAAGAAGGCCCTGAATACTGAGAGATTCGGCTGAAATTCCCCAGAGTTCAGCCCTATAATGCCTTCCAGCCATGCAAGATAAATGAGAGCCCCTGAGAGCAGGGCCTAGGCCTGAGAAGTGACATCAGGTAGATGGATGGATGGTGAATAGACGGGTAGATGGAAAGATGGATGGATGGTAGGAAGGAAGGAAGGAAGGGCACATGGATGGATGGATGGGATGAAAGAAAGAAAAAGATGGGGTGAATATGGTAGAAATATTACATGTGACAAGGGAAAGATGAGACCTGTTGAAACTATTCTAAGAATGGGGAGGGCATAAAGGAGAATGACAGAGGGGTGAATTTAACTGAGAGATAGTGTAAGAGCTTTTCTAAATGCCACGTGTCTCCAGTACAATATAATAAAAATAATAAAGAAGATGGACAAAGGAACCTCCATTTCCAAAGCCTCTTCCCCTTGACCCCCTTTTCTGACCTGTCCTTGGCTCGACTTCAAGGGCACCCTGGCACCATCATCTTTCTGGTCTCTCTCTCAAGTGGGCAAGAGTCATGGCTCCCCCTTCTGGAACCTGGGTCCAGAGTCCTGGCCTTCTCCAAGGTGGACCCCAAGGCTGATTCTCCAAGTGTTCCAGCCTCTTACCGCTTGCCCAGGAAACAACAAATATCTGCATCCAGCATTCCCCCTGTCCCCATGCTCCGCATCAGAGCCCCCATCACACTGCAAGCAAAGAGCAAGTGGAGTGCACAGAACCTTCCAGGTGCCCAGACCTCTGTCCTCACTGCAGAGACAGGGAAACTGAGCCAGGAAGGGCTCTGCTGCCAGGCAAGCCTACCAGAGGACTGCACACCTACCCTGCACACGGCCCGCTCCCCAGAGTCTTGACAAACACCAGGAAGGTGCTATAGCTCCTTGCAAGTCTGATCTTGCCAGCATGGGGCACGCTGGCATCAGGACCCTGCAAGTTCCCAGGTGATTCTGATGTGCAGGGCACGAAAGGAAATGCATGAGGACCTGGAGGCCCAGAAAGGAACCAGAAGGCTCTGGAGGGATCAGCCTTGTTCCAACACCTCCAGCAGGGGGCAGTGCCGCCTCACACCTGGATGCCTGCCATGGAGTCCAGGCATCCATTCCTGGGGACCCAGGACACCCTCCACAGCCTCTAAGCAGTAGGCCCATCTGGTGCTAACTTGGCCTCACCTCCAGACAAATTCCTTCCTCCCAGAGTCTCAGCATGCAGTGGGGAGGTGGATAGGCTGCAACCTTCCTCTCTGCCTGTCTCCAGGCATCTGTGCAGAAGGGGTTCCATTGTTCAGGTGGGTGGGGTTGTACATAAAATGACCTTCACTGAGCTGGAAGGACCACCAGCCAGCTCACACTTCCCTCCTGTGGATGGGACCATTGAGTATTTAAGGGGCCTAGGACCAGGTCTTCTGGTGGGTTCCCCTTCCCTGACTCCATAACCTGCTCCGGTTCCTTCCTGCCTAGATGTCTGTGACCACCTCATGCTGCTGTCCTCAGGCATAGCAGTGGCTCCTACTCCTGAGGGAGTAGGGCCCCCCACCAATGCCCAGGCTTTTGGAGGTGGGACCCCCCACTCCATGTGTCCCTTCTCCCATCACAGATGCTTGCTGATGGGTCAGCCCTCTCCCATCCCCCAGCAGGGTATACAGTGAGCGCTCAGTAACATCCCATCCAAAAAAATCACACACCACCCCCCAACCCTGAGGCCCCACCCCCATCCTGCCTCTCAGGTTCCATAGCTCCTAGCTCCTGAGCTGGCGCAGCCGTCCAGCCTGATGCTACTGGTGATAAACGTATCAAGCTTTGCATCTGTGGTCCAGGGGGACTGCCCTGGGCAGACGTTGCCGTGGCAACTAGAGGCAGCAGGGAGGCCTGAGGCCAGGTTGCCATGTGATGCCGTGGGCAGCCTGGGGCTTCTGCTGAGCTAGTGCAGTGCTGGGTGCTGCTCAGGTCCCTGGAGGTGGCTAGTCCCGTCCCACCTTGCCCATCCCAGGGAGTCCTGACGTCAGACCCAACTGCCCCTGGTCCTACACCTGTGGGTTATTAAAAAACCAGCACCAAGGGCGTAGGAACCTGATATGAACCTTCTCATTATTCTCTTTGCCTGGAACCCAGTGGCCTTTGTCATGCACCTGTCCACCCAAGTTGTCACCTTCCGTCCCCAGCACCCTCACCTGAGGCCTTCCTAAAGGTTTCCCTCATCCATTCCGAGGATGGACATCCTTGGAGGCCATGCCCAGGTTACAGGGAGGGTGAAAGCTGCCAGCGGGTGGATCTGGTTCCAACCAGTGGCTATGTCAGTACTGAGAGCATATGGAAGGCAGCACAAAGCCCACAGTCCAGGCAGTACCTGGTCCCCTCAGGGCTTACTCTCTTTCCAGACCAACGAAGAGACCTCTGTGAACTCCATGTGCAAAATTTTATCACAGGCAACCAGTGTCAGCTGGATCCAGCAAGGCCAGGAGGGGTTGTGCTGGCCCAGGGCCACAGGTGGGCAGCTCAAGGAGGCTGCCCCACCCCGTTCCCCTCAGAAGCCCAAGTTGGTCCCAGGGGATGATGACACTGTGACCCCAACCAGGGCAGGGCTCAAAGGCTGATAAGGTCCTTCAGAATCAAAAGCCAAGGTCAGCAGTGTCTCAGGCAGGTGGCAAATTTGTCTGTCTCACAGGGTCTTGCCGGCACCTACCATTCAGCTATGGTCAGGGGCCCAGGCAAGACAAGAGTTTCAGGGTGCCACCGCTCCTGGCACACCCCAGGAAAGGGGAGAATATCAGTGTGAGGGTCCTGACCACCACAGGAGGCTGGCTCAGCCCTGCCCTCTACTTCCCCCTACTGCCATCAGTCCTCTGGGTCGAATGCATGTTTGTGCTTAAGTGTGCAAGGTGCATGTGTGCATGAATGTGAGTGTACTCCTGGAGCAGTGACAGTAGGAAACCCCTGCCCTCCAGGTCGCTGGTCTTTTTAAGCCTCCCTCCTGAGATACCTGGTTCTGGACATCAGCCACAGTGCCATGTGTTCACTGCACAGAGCAGGACCCATGCCCTGGACCCCATTCCCAACACCCCGGTACCCAGGGCTTCCTCAGGAAGGAGCCCATTGGACAGAGAGGGTGGGGGGCACCACCACCCGATCTCAGGGCAGAGACAGCCTAACTGCAGACACCATGGAGACAAAGAGCGTTTACCACACAAGATGGCACAGATGGGGCATCATTAACCTGCTATTAATCAGGTGGTTAGGTGACATCATTTATTTTGTGGCCCTCCTGCCTGCTCCAGCCAGCATGGATGCAGGGACCGGGCACAGGCAGCCTGTCACTGGACTGGGGTAACACACAGGCTGTGCAAGTGTCCACATGCCTGGAGCCAGAATGTGCTGAGCGGGGCTCTCTGTAGAGGCCACTGGACAGGTCCCAGGAGGAACTTCGGGGCAGGGTGGACAGAAAAGAAATTGTGGAGCCTGACACCTGGGGCCTGGCTACTGGGGACCCCACTGCTCGGGGACCCCATTCAGATGGGTTGGGCTCAGAGGGCTGGGGTGACTGGCTGAAAACAGGTTCTCCCACCCTGGGGGCAGTGGGCTCCATGGCCCTGTGTGTGCCTGCATCCCAAAGCCAAACAGGAACCCCCACGCAGAACAGATGAGAGCTGGGCGGAGTTGTATTTTGAAAGTTTCTCCTCTCACGTTTTTTTTCTCTCTGTGTTTCTTTTCCACAATTCTAAAGACCATTGTTCATCAAACCCTGGCATCTGCACCGCGATGTTTCAGAGAACAATTACAGAGGGAAGTAATTTCACAGTCAGAGTCGCAGGAAGGCCGGCCGAGAGCGAAGACAGAGGGAGGTTGTACAAATTACTTGAAAGGGGAAGAAAACCCTGAAGTCTCAGGCCCACCCTCCCACCAGAAGAACGTCCCCGCAGCGGTTTCACACCAAGAAAAGCCCTCAGCCTTGTCTAAGAGCCCCCTCTGCCATCTCGGCGTCCCAACATTCTTGCTCCGCCTTGACCACTAGAAGCAGTAACAAAACAGGTCCCACCCGCCATAGCATCCGGTATACATGAGGGATAAAATTACATTTGTACAAAAATAGATTCTTTTACCTTTCCCGATGCTTAGACATTTTTCTCTCGTCTTTACTCTCTAAGTGTCCGCTCGCGTCCCAGCTAAGGCATCGCTAAAGATTGGGACGGGCTACAGCTGCTGCTTCAGGGCATCTTAAAATAGATGCAGCTCCTTGCCTCGAGACAGTCATTCGAGCCCGGATCTCACCAAAGGAGGGGTCCTTAGGTCTTGCTTAGGCCAAGCAAGTTGACAGGGAAATGGGGAAAGTCTTGGTTACAGATAAACACATAGTTGGTAACTGTCACGCCTGCTCCTGTGTGGCGGCGTGCAGCCTCTGCACAGTCTCTGTACGGCACATACACATTTACTCCACACACCTGCGTGGACCGGAACAAGGCCGTGCACCTCGGTTCCGTGATGGGGACATCAGCTGATTTAACCACCGTCTGCACGCTCCGGCCTGACCCTCCTGGGGGCGCCAGGGCAGGGAGCTTGGGTGTCTCTCCGATGCTCTGTCACCAGCCCATCAGCCCAGAATCCTTTGGGATGCTGTGACTTGGAAAACTGGGAATGTGATGCTGAACTCCCCCCACCCTCCCAAGACTGTGTGCTTCCTGAGTGATGAGGGCCAGCAGCTGCCACAGGGGCCTGCCTAGGTGACACATCCCAGGCGGGCCACCTGGCTCTGTGGTGATCTTCGCATCTCAGTCACGGGGGCCCCATCTGAACGTCCAAACAGGGAGGTGACACAGCTGAGGAACATGCCTGGAGGCACCCGTGGTCGAGGACCCAGGACGCAGCAGTGCAGAAGTCACGGTCCTCAGTGGCAGCCACTTCATCTGGCCAGGTGGAGGCAAGGATGGGCACAAGGTGGCTAATGAGCTGATGTTAGTGCTATCTTTAGAAAATTAAAGATTGTCCCACCAAAATAATAATAATTACAAAAAAAATCACCTTAATTGAGCCAGATTGGTAACACTACTGAAGGTCTGATTAAGTCAACATCCTACCTCCCAACCAGGTAATGTGCCATGCCCACACATCACCCTGCAAGCAGACAGCACTGTGCACACAACAGCAGGGGCAATGGGCCTAATGAGAGGGGACAGGAAGCCCATGGGGAGAGTCTAAGATGACAGTGGGAGGTAAGGCTGAGCAGGCCAGAGGGGCCCAGGGTTCTGGTTTCGGAGGCAGTGGTGAGGAGCCTCAGTGCTTTATAGACAGCCAGGCCCAGAACCAACGAAGTTCCCAAGAAGCCCTACTCCAGGGCTTTCTCTGCTGGAGCCACTGAGGGCTCCCGAGGAGCCCTCAGTGGCCTGGGGCACTGCATGTGGCAGGCACTGGGCTGGCAACAGTGATGAGATGCAGCAGGCAGCAGAAGGCTTGATGCTGAGTGTGGAATAGGGACCCCTCAGGGCTCCTGTGTCCCTCTGACTGATATCACCATACCCCAAAGGCTAACCGGACTTTCTGGGAGTCTGGCTGGCCCCAGCAAAGTAGTGGGCCTCCTATGCACATCTCCCAAGCCACCACGTTGAGAAGGGTCAGGACAGCAAGATGTTCCTATAATCTTTGATGTCCTCCTGCACAGACGATGCCTTAGCTGTCCCTAGCTGGGAACTCCAGAAAGGCAAGGACTGGCTGTGTCCTTCCCCCGAAAGCCTCAGCCCCTCACAACCTAACCTCTAAGATGACCCTGTCCCTCTGTACCAGTGGGAGGATGGATGCTGGAGAAGCAGCCACTCCCCGTGTCAGGACAACCTGAAAAAAGACAACAGAGGCCATTGTCAAGCATCCTGGCCTGCCGTCCACCTGCTCGCCCCATTCAGGCATCTGCTCCCGACAAACCTGGGCCCAGGGATCTAAGACATGAACACGAGAAGTACTGGGGCCCAAGTGAGGCCCTACAGTGCCAAAGAGGCAGTTCAACCTGAGAGTGCCGCACCAGCGCCTGCGGCAAGGCAGGACAGGACGAGTGGGAGGGGCTGAGGCCCATGCCACCCCCCAAGCAGAGCAGTGTGAGATGCGGCCCCAGTTAAGACTCTGGACAAATGGCAACACCACTCTGGGGGCCCAGGAAGGTCTGCAGAGTCTTCCAGACAGACCAGCTGGCCAGAGGAGGGACCCATGTGGGGGTCCCACACAGTGCCCGGTGTCAGCTATGTCAGGATGCAGTGTGGCTGCCCCCTCCAGGGTGGCTCCTTCATCCTCAGGTCCTTGTGACTCTCGCTGCCTCCCTCTGAGGGAAGCCAGACAGCAGCCCTCCTTCCCTTCCCTCCAGGAGCCTTCTGGATGGCCTATGTACATGCAAGAGAGGCCAGTAGAACTTGTACCAGGACAGCCCATGTGCTGCCCACAAGGTCTTTCTGAGACAGAAAGAACACCCCACCTGAGACTGCGCTAGCCCTCCAGGAGCCAAGAACTAGCCTCGGCTTACCTCACAGACGGTAAAAGACGGTCTGGGGTGGAGGGGAAGCCTGGGCTCTAAGCTCTGGTCACCCTGGATTGACAGGAACATGTAGCAGGGGAGAAGATGAAACCAGGACAACAACACAAAGAGGAAACCAAGGTGGGGTGACAGAGTGACCCTGGCCTCTGCAGCCTTGAGGTGGCCCCTGTTCTCAGTGCCTAGGGCAAAGTCCCAAGTTATCTTTGGAAAATGGGCTGTCACTCTGCACTCTAAGCAGACGGAGGCCTGTGGCCCGAGTCCCCACTTGGCTTCCAGGGGCAGGTGGGTCTCTGCAGTGAGATGCAGCCTGTTCCCATCTGTCCCCTCCTGCCCCCAGGTAGACTCTCAAGATGGTCAGGCACCAGGACTTCAAGCAGGTGAAGATTATTCCAAACAGAGGGGCACTCGGAGAACTAGCAACCACAAACAGCAGCCAGAATAAGCCCCCTCCCCAGCTCCTGCAGCTCTGGGCCCTGAAGACCCCAAGAGCTGCTGAAGCACCCCTAGGGTGACGGCAGGGCACCCTGCAGCCTGATGGGGAGGGACCTGGCTGGGTCTCACACCAGTTCTGGCCATCCCAGCCACTGCCATGGGAAAGCCACCGCCCTGGGCCAAAGACAAGCAGTAATAAAGATTAACGAGATGGCAACATATCTGGCAGGGCCACAGTGACACGCTGCACCCAAGGGTCCACACAGGCCAGGCAGGGAAGGGCGGACACAGGGCTCGAGCTGAGCAGAGCAGCTGCGTCCAGGCTGCGTGCCGGACCAGGCGGCGCGAGGGCCGGCCAGCGGGCCTAGGTCATCTGGTGTGGGGTCTCCAGCATCTCCATGAGGAAGGTGTCAATGGGCGTGTCCCCGATGAGCTTGAAGAAGAAGAGGTGCTCCAGGCACTTGAGCCCAATGGAGCGCAGTGCAGGCAGGCGGAGAAGGAGCTTGGCGAACCTGCCAGAGAGCAGGTGGGTTAGGGCAAGCCAGGGAGGCCAGGCGATGCTACCTCCTCTGCCCAGCACCTGGGTGACTCCCCAGACACTGGCCAGATCCAATGCCTGAGCCCTCAGACCCCATCTGCAGTAGGAAGGAGGGGTATCTAAGGAACAGAAGGCAGAGGAGACTCTACTGGGGCAGGACAGCAGGGGGCTGAGGATTAAAAGAGAGGCCAGGGATGGGCAAGACTTGCCAACCAGGCAGGCCTAACAGGACCTTAAGAAGCTACAAAATGTAGGCTTGCTCCAGGGCAATGGGGAGCCACAGCAGAACTTCAGACAGGGGCAAGAGTACAGAATGGATCTGAATATCAGGGGTGCCTCTGCTACAGCAGTCGGCCCTCTAGAGATGGTGAGGACTCCTGGGAAGAGGTAATGAGGATGAAGATAGATAGAGGTAACATGAAGGGTACTCAGTGTGTAACTGAGAAACCATGGGGTGGTGGCCCCTACTGGAGATAGAGCTGACGCACTCTGTGTTCAAGCCAGTCTATCCCATTGAGCATCAACCTCCCACAAACCCCGCCCAATACCTCTCATGCACTCCCCTCCCCAGGCAGAGCTCTGCAGGCTGACAGAGGGGAGGGTGGCTCCCCAGGGCCCTACCACCCCTGGGGAGTTTCCTGGGCAGGAGACCAGTGAGAAGAAAAGAGGAAGAAGTCTGGGGTCTCTGGGAGGAGGGACATCAGAGTCAGCCACTGCAGACCCAAGGGAGGACAGTGCAGAATGGGGACGGGCCTGGGGTCCCCATTCCACATCCATGTCTGCTCTAGGCCTCCCCTTTCTCTGCCCAAGGCTCTCCTCTAGGATCCTTTGGGCCTCATTAATTATTAACGATGTCTTTTATTTCCGAGGGAGGAAGCCTTGTGGTTGGCTGCCTCACAGTCCTTGTTTTAAAGGCACAAACGTAGCTTGAAGGCTGGATCGGGGCCAGAGAATGGGCTGTTTTCTGCTGAGCTGGCGAGATGGGCTGAGGCAGGAAGCCAGGAAAAACAAGCTGGCCTGCCACCCCTCTGTCCTCCACCCCCTCCACGAAGTTTCACTTTAAACCAAACCAGATGAGGGCTCAGAAGCAGCATGGACAGTTAACTGTGTGTGCACCAGTCAGTAAGGGGGTGGGGGGCTGTTGTGCCCCGCCTGCCCAGCCCCCTCACAGCTCCCTAGTTTGCAGACTACGAGGCTGGGCGGTGCCCTTAAGAGAAGGAGCAGAATGGGAACCATAGGCCGAATCCCAGGAATCCACAGTGCCTCTTCCTGGACACATACTATGGGCCCCCAGACTTCTGGCGCCAAAGTTGTGCGGGATGAATAAACTCTGCCTTCCAGCTACAACCACCTGCACATCTGTAAAGTGCCTACTATGTGCTGGTGTCACCAGTCCTCTAATTATCTGTTTCAAGATGAGAACCTTCATCTGCATCAACAAAGACAAGCACCTAGTATACGCCAGACACTGGGCCAATCCTTTTGGAGGGCTACAGGGTAAGGTGTGTGTGTTGACCGCAGCCTGCTTGCCACTCATCTGGGGACTGTGAGGCATTCCAGACTGCACCTGCAGAGAGCACCATGGTCTCATCTGCACACAAGGGCCTGTAGGGCTGGACGGCTACATGCAGGGTGGGGCAGGGGCTCTCCAAACAAGATCTGTCTGTCTGCCTGGTGGGGCGAGGCAGTAGGTAGCTCACCTGCCCGGCTGCTCTGGGTACTTGTGTTTGCAGTAAGCCTCCAGCGACGCGTACACCTTCTCCCTCAGTGCCTCCACCTCAGCCGGGTTTGAGAGCCCCTTGGAGTCTGCAGGAAGAAGAAGCCTCCAAGTCTGAGCCTTCACACCGGGATGTTCCCGGGTTCTGGCCCTGGGGACACAAATCTGTGGGGTTGTCTCTAGCCACTGCACACCAAGGCACAGTCAGACTGTGCACACACTGTACAGCTGGATGTGGCTGTTCCCACAGTTCCATTGTAGGGGGACTGCTCTGGACTTGAGTCCTGCTGGAAAGTCACATGACCTTGTGCCAGTCCCTTGACTCAGTTTTCTTATCTGTCCCCTTGTCGCCATGGTAACCATGAGGCAATCGATGCCTTCACTGACTTGGGGCACAACCTCCCCCAACCCCGGGTAGGAATAGAGGCCAGTGCACCCTTCCTGCAGAGACCTCACACCCATACCACATGGAGAAGCTCAGGAGCCCCTCCTCACGACTCAAGTCAAGAGCTCAGGACCCAAGTGCTAGAGCCCAGGCCTCAAGGACATGACATAACCACAGGGCACAGGTGACCCACTGTGACTACCAAGGTGACCTGGGGTCCTGTGGCTCCTAAGAATGCCAGGTTCCTCTAGGTGTCTCAGCTCTGGCCAGTTCCCCTCATTCCCCCATTGCCCTGCCCACAGGCCTAGCAGCTCTCCAGGGCCCTGTGCAGGCTGCCCCGCCCCACCAGCCACTCTCTCTGGGCTGTCCACTCATCTGGCCTCTTCTGACCCTTACCTCTGTGCACTTCCACAAACATAAAGAGCAGGTATGAGCAGCCCTTTCCCCTAACCCAGAGGTCTGTGAGGGCAGGCCTGGCCCACCACTCACCAGATGGCTTCGCAGGCTGGGAAAGGGGGTACTGTGCACACAGCACTGTTTTTGCTGGGTGATGGAGCAAGAGTCCAGGGGCTGGAAAAGTGCTCCACTGCCACCAGGACCACCTCCCCCTGAGGTGAGGCTGGACACCTGGCAGGCTGACATCACCAGCCCCAGCCAGGACACATCACAGCAGGCCTCCTCCTGAGCTGAGGGTTTCAGTGCACAACATAAGGTGTTCTGCATGGCACAGCCCTGAAAGCTCACTTGGGAACCACTGACAGGAGCCAGTGCATTTGCTGGTCCCACTGAGGACAGGGACAGGGCCGAGCACCACCCGAGCCCCTCAGGTAACCCTCACAGCAGGCTGCTCTCCACTGTGAGGAGGACACTGGGACATGTGTCTGCCCACACGGCAGCAACACTAAGTGGAGTTGCTGGTTGCTGGGAGGCCAGGTCTGGAGCCAGGAGGCAGGAGGGCCGTACCGGGGTTGAAGAGGACGATGGCGCGCAGGCAGCCCAGCTCTGTCTTGTCCATCTGCATGTCTCGCATTTTGGACACCAGCTCTGTCAGCACCCTGCAGGGGAAGAAGGCAAGACCAAGGTCCAAGTTAGACCATGTCCTCGCCAGGGTCCCCATCCCAGGGAAGAAAGAAGAGGTGGGAACAGGCTGCACCTCACTGCAGAGACCCACCTGCACCTAGAATCCCAGAAAAACCCAAGGAACCCTGGGAAGTCTGATGTGGCCCTAAAGGCAGCTGGGTGGGGTAAGACCAAGCGGGGAGCTACACAGACAGGGCCCCAGAGATGGGGAAAGAGTAACCATGAGCACAGGTATCTGCTCACCAGGTTGGCCTGGTCCTGTGCAGGAGGTGGGCTCCTCTACTCCCCTGGGCTGCCTGAGGGACATCATCTGGGAGCCTGAGCACTGAGGCCAAGCCAAGCAAGCTGGGGGCAAGGCTCCTGTCTCATGAGCCTAGCTGGACCTGCTCCTGTCCCTGCTCAGCTACGGACAAAGCCTCAGTCACCCTGCATTCACAGCTGCTCCTGTGGGCCCACAGAAGGAAGGCCTTTTCCCAGACGCGGCCTCACTGGGTAGGAGCTGCCGCTGGGGAGGAGGTGACTATTCTCGTTATCTATCACACAGCCTCCTCCGCACAGTAGGGACTCCTCTGTGGAGCCCTTTGAGGTGCTTTCAGTCTCAGCCCGCCTAGCGCCACTGAGTCCCTGACAGGCTCTCCGAGTCCAAGGCTCTGTGTCCACACGCTGAGCTTGGAGTCTCCTCAACCCCAGCAGCCTGCCTCCAACCCCAGAATGTGATTGCTGTTTCTGGGAACAGGAAGTGGCTGGTGAGACTAGAGCCATAGGACAGAGATGGTCCCCTCAAGAGCTAGGACTTTCCCCTGGGCCACAAGGAGCTGAGGGACTGCAGGCTGGAGAGGCCACACTGTTTCCTAAAAGAGACCCGAGAGTGCCAGGGGTGGAGGCAGCAATAACAACAGCTCAAAGGACCCAGCTCCAGGGCCAGTGGGGACTGCAGATGTCTGCCCTGGGGCAGGACACAGAGCTGCAGGGGCCTGGCTTCCACAGGCCAAACTGTGTTCCACTCACTCAAAAGGTGAGGACAAGCTGGGACCTTTCCAAGTGCTGCTTGGGGACCCCAGGGAATATAAGCCTGAGGCGCTCATCACCATCACTACCCCCATCAGCTGGGCATGTGGCTGTGTTTCCCAAAGCCAGACCCCCAGAAGGTCAGGTCTCTCTAAGAAACACTGCCTGCCACAGTCCCATGGCAGTTCTCCCACCCTTGAACTTGTCAAAGACCCTGAGAAGTCCCACAGCTCAGAGCCTGACATAAGTGCACTGTCTAGGGCAGGGTTTGGCCCCTCTGTGGCCACAAAGTCTTCTGCAGTATGCATCCCAGGGCCCCAGGCTGCTGGTGTGCTGTGCCTGAACTCTCCCACGAGGCAGGGGAGTGCATGCACATGTCACCCATGGATGTGGAAGGGGCTTCTACTCACCTTCACCTTCAGGGATCTGATACTCAGAGGCTCACCTGGGACCCCTCCCCATGTCATCTCTGACCTGCTCCTTCCCAACTCATTACTTCATGTGCCCTGCATCGCCCACCCCAGTCCTCCTGCTCCCACTGGCTGAAGCTGGCACCCAGGTCCCCAGAACGCCCTGGTCTGTGTGGTCCTCAGCTCATAGACAAGACCTAGCAGGAAACAGGAACGGCAGGTTGTCAACCCTTGCCCAGTAGAGTGTAAACTGCCTGGTGTTTGAGGACACCTGACAGCTAGATGTGGGCTGCCCTGCAGACAGCCTGCCCCTGTGCTGGGTGGCTGAGAGATGGCCAGGGTGCATACAGAGAGTCACAAACGCAGCCACATGGGCTGAGGAGCAACGAGTCAGGTACGTATCTCTGGGTGACTGATCAGGGTACAAGCCACAGCTGGGGCAGCGATGGCATCCTGGTCACAGTGCTGACAGCTGTGACAGTCCAAGCATCCAACACTTTTATCAAACCGTATTGTTGGATAATTTGCTTTTGTGCTGCAAAGTGCAGCTGTCCTTCTCATGGCTAAACACCTGGGACTGAGAAGGAAAGAGCTGGACGTGGACCAACTGAAACACTCACGTGGTACCAGCCAGCCAGGGCCAGGCTCAACAGGGCTGTAGCAACCCCTGCCCAGTCGTATTTGCCACACCTCGGACTTTCACAAGCAGGATGGGAAGGTGGGCCGAGGTGGCTGCCCCCCACCTGCCTACCTGTCAAAGATGGCGCCCACCCCTGCACTGTGGGCACTGTTGCGGTGCACATGCAGCCCGGTAGCGAGGAGGATCCCGTCCTTCACAGCTATGGACCGGTGGGAGAAGGAGGCGATGAGCAGCTCGTTCCAGCCTGGGGGAGGAGTCACACAGTCACTTGGCTGTCTCCAGAGTCCCCAGCCCACCTTTCCCTTGGCCCCTAGTCGGACCCCCAAAGCAGCATGTAACAGACCCATCAGATCCTAAAGCAGCCTCCACGGAACCCTAACCCCATGAAGGGTTCCACTGAAGAGACTCCTGAGCACCTAAGTTCAGGAAATGGTTTTCCTCCGACAGTGCACGCTGGCACGGTGAAGGCCCTGAGAAGTCCCCGCACTGAGCACTGCCTGTAGCAAACTGAGGTGGCCAAAGCTTTCCACACATGGCACGCGTGCCTCAGAGAAGGTGGGAGAACACCCAAAGGCCCCCCTGCTGCCAGCCTAGGCCCGAGAAGGCTTTCAGAGACCAAGGTGAGCCACACAGATTGTCACAAAGGAGTAAAGTACTAATTGGAAACAAGGCACCGTAGAGCCACAGGCCCAGGCAAACTCTTTCTTAATACGAGGCTCTGGTACAGACCAACCAGAGCAAGCGAAGAAGAAGCCTGGGAGAGAAACCTGGGGGAAAGGACTCTTGGGGAACAGACCACGTGAAGCCATCTTCAATGCCAACAGTCATAACAACACCCACTCCCAACAACTCCCTGGTGGCTGAAGGTGCCACGCTGCACAGCTGCCAGGTGTGGGCACCATCACTGGCTCTGATGCACTCTTACACAGCAGGCGCTGGCCTATTCTGTGGGGGAGTCAAGGCGTATGGGGCAGATGACCAGCCCCAGCTGGGGGCTGACATGACAGTCCCCCTCCAGATTTGCTGACATGCCCTGGGTGGTATGGACCACTGGAACACCAGCATGAGTGGTCAGTTCAAGGCCTGCTGCCATTGCTATCAGGAGATGTGGACTGTAGGCACAGTAGGGGTGGCAGACACTATGGGAAGACTGGATGGCTTCCCACACAAGCCAGTGCTGGGAACCTGGGCACAGACACTGGTCCAGCACCTCCTACCTGTCTACCCATCCCCGTTCCTGGCCAAGGGTTGACACACAGCCTACTTAAAAGGAGAATAACAAAGGTGGGGTTCCATGAGGCAGTAAGTTTGGGAAATGAACACAAACAGTACAGTAGGGCTGTTGATCCTGGGGACCCGTGGTAGGGTCGTTGCTAGGTACACGGCCTGAGCCCAGCTTCCTCCCTGTCCCAAGCGGGGAGGGGAACAGGACTATCCAGAGCAGAAGTGCCTCATGGTGTGCTGAGCTGCCCAAAAGCAGGACCTCTGGCTCAAGGCCCACCTTGCTCCTTCTACCTGGAGGTTCTTACGTTACCTGGCCTCTTAGGACACCCAAGTGAGGTGGCAAACAAGGCCTCAAAAATCAAACAGCATGGATGATGGGAAAGTGGGAGGGAGAAGGCCAGACATGGGAGTCAGGAAGCCATGGATGGCCCTGGCCCTGCCTCAGTTTACTTGTCTGGCAAACAGAAGAGTTGAGGTGCTTGATGCTTCAACAGAACAAGCCAGTGTTATGTAACACTTTATCTCTGAGGGTTTCCTGGACAGTCAGATGGGCTCCGGCCCCAAGGAAGGAGCCCTTCTCCCCTCATCAGCAAACAGAAACACAAGCGGAACTGGCTCCTACTCCAGCTAGGCTAGAACCCCCACTGAGCTGATCAGTGGTTCTCGTGATGACAGAGATGCTAGGCAGAATCTAATGCTCTGGACCCAAGACCCACGTCTCCTACAGGAGGGGACAGCAGCCTTGCAGCAGGCCCAGCACCAGACCTTGTGCCCGCACAAACACATGGGCACAGCCATCCAGCCAACCTGGAGCTCAGCCCTGCCCTCAGGTCTCCTTGTCTGCCCACCGGACACGATGATATGCAGGTTCCAAAGGAAGAAAACTGTGTGTGACTGGCAAGGGAGTCCCACCTGCTGTCTGTGAAGGCTTTTGCCACCCCCCAGTTCCTTCCAAAGACCGCTGGCATCAGACAGGATCTGAAGCAGGCAGAGCTCAGAATCCTGAGCTAAATAATAAGGAGGTCGGGGAGCCCTAAAAAGTGAGGGCAGCAAAAGACCAAAAATCATATGTTCTCCCTCATATGTGGACATTAGATCAAGGGCAAACACAACAATGGGATTGGACTTTGATCATAAGATAAAAGCAAGAGCACACAAGGGAGGGGTGAGGATAGGTAAGACACCTAAAAAACTAGCTAGCATTTGTTGTCCTTAACGCAGAGAAACTAAAGCAGATACCTTAAAAGCAACTGAGGCCAATAGGAGAAGAGGACCAGGAACTAGAGAAAAGGTGAGATCAAAAAGAATTAACCTAGAAGGTAACACCCACGCACAGGAAATCAATGTGAGTCAATGCCCTGTATAGCTATCCTTATCTCAACCAGCAAAACCCCTTGTTCCTTCCTATTACTGCTTATACTCTCTCTTCAACAAAATTAGAAATAAAGGCAAAATAGCTTCTGCTGGGTACCGAGGGCGGGGGGCGGGGGGGGGTAAAGGAGGGGTGGGGGGTGGGGGGAGAAATGACCCAAGCATTGTATGCACATATGAATAATTAAATAAATAAAACAAAAAAAGACATCATGGGGAAAAATTAAAAAAAAATTTAAAAGTGAGGGCAGAGCTGGACAGATGTCCCTGCTGGGCGGGATGCTCCACAGATTCTGAGAAAAGTCTGTGCCCACAAAAGTGGGCCACATGCCTCAGCCCAGTGGGGTAGGAGCCCACCCAGCAGAGGCAGGCGTGGGGGGACCTGAGATGGGAGAAGATCCTGGTTCACTTGGATGGCCTAATTCTGTCACAAAAGTCCTTCCAAGACGGGAGCCGGAGAGTCAGGGCCTGTTCGATACTGGCCCTGACCAACCAGCTTCCAAAACATTCCATGCTGCAGAGGGAGCTACCTTTGTTTGGCTATTTTTCTCCAAAAGCTTTTTACCAGGAACTGCCTTCTATTAGCCAAGGCTGGGCTAAGGCACAGAATCCTCAGAAAGCTGAAGCAATCAGGACACTCAGGGCCCTGGACAGTGGCGGGGTGGATGGGCACTGTGGGACTCAGGATAGTCTCCAGCACCATCACAGCAGCAGGAGGGCAGTGAGTGGCAGCCATGAACCGCATACACCGTGTGTTCCCTCACTACACAGGAAGGAACCTGGGCTAAGGAGTCAGGTCTTGGTTCACCCACCAGTAACCTGCCAGTTCAGGAACAGTCAGCAGGTTCCATCGCCAGCATTACACCCATGGCACAGGACAGCCTCCTCACCTGGGATCCCGCGGCTGGCCTCATCCAAGACCCCAAAGGTGATGCTTCTGCCCACCATGCTAGCCACGACACCCTGTCCCAGGGCCTGTGTGAGCACCAAGCAAGCACCTTTGTGCTCTTCCCAGGTGCATCATGACCCTCACCCAGAAAAGGAGCTGGCCTCAGAACAGACGAGGCTGCAGGGAGCATATAGACCATGATGGGCAGCCCCAGGCAGCCCTCCACCTCTCTGAAGCCCACAGAGACCCTGCACCGCACAGCACCAGGCAGCAGCAGTGATACCTCCCGCCCCCACCCCGACAGGCCTGGCTACTCACCTGCTCGCAGCAGGATGACCTGGTCGTCCAGCGGGAGCTCAGAGAAGTGTGGGATCCTCTTGGCCCACTCCACAAGGGTGAAGAGCTGTTTGTCTGCTGCCTGGCAGATGTTGGTGACAGGGTCGTTTGGCTGTGGTAGAGGAAGGGGACACAGTGTTCGGACCCACACCAGACCCCTCCGTGTGCTGGACCTGTGGGGGGAACTAAACGAAGGCCCCCAGAGAGATCCACACCACAACTCCTAGAGCCTGTGGCTGTGACCTTGCAAGGACAAGGGACTTGGCAGGTGGGATTATATCAAGGTCCCAGGGATGGGAGATGATTCTGGATTATCAAGCCCAGTATCATGCAGAGTCCTCGTAAGCGACAGCAGACTCAGAGTCAGAAGGGGATGCGTCAGTGGAAGCAGCAGTCATGGAAAGAGATGCTCCCGGCTTAAGACAGAGCAGGGACCACGAGCCAAGGAATGTGGTGGCATCCAGATGCCAGGAAAAGCAGGAGATGGGTTCTCCCCAGAGCCACAGGAGGAGCCCGACCTGCAGACACCCTAAGGAAGCCCACGGATACAAAATCAGGGCTTCTAATTCCAGGATAATAGAATTGCGCTGCTGAACCACCGAGCTTATGGCGATTTGCTACAGCAGCCATGGGAAAGCCACAGAGCCATCTGGTTCCTCGTAGCCCTGGGAGTCAGGTGCCAGGTGATAAGGGAACAGACATAAGAGAGGCCACCCCAGGGGCAGGGGTGAGAGCTGGGCTGGAACTGGCCCCTCAGCTCTGATGGCCATGGTGGCCAACCTGGGAGGTATGTTCTACCAGGTGTGTGAGTAGAAGCTCAGGCTGGGCACATGCCTTGGCCAAGACACCAGGCATCAAAAAATTCTAGAAAATTCAGCAGGGTGGGACTCACTCGACCTCACGGAGGAGGAAACCAGGTGGGTTCCCAGCAGGGCAAGAGGGAGCCCCTTCCAGTTCCTGGCAAGTGGGCTGGGGCCACAGCCCTCCAGAGCTAAGTGGAGGGAGAGGCTGGCACCTGTGACAACGCACAGAAGCGTGAGGATCCCTCACTCGCTCCAGTATGGCAGTGGCTGGAGCAGCGGAATGGGAAGAAAACGTCTTCCTCAGAAGGGCTCTCCTGACAGAAACCACCTGACCGGCAGCAACACAGTGTAAACACCAGTCCTGCATGAAGGGCTTCCAAAGAGCTCAAGTAGAAAGCCATGCAGGTGTAAGGCCCAAGCTCAGGTCCCAGCACACCAGGCTTGGATGGAAGGGTCTTTGGGACAGGAGGGGCTATGCAGGACTCCAGCTCTGTCCTGTTCCATATCCCCATGTTGCCTCGGGCAACTGCTTCACCCTCTGAGATGATCCGACAGCAGACATTTAATGAGCTGTCAGCTTCTGCCAAGGAGGAGTGTCAACAGGACCACCCAGGCAGGGCCCAGGCTCTGACCTGTGGAAGAGGAGCCCCACCATGGAGGCTGGGGAGCTGCTGCCCGGCCTCAGTTGGCCTCCGAAGGAAGCAATCTGCTGTCCCAAGGCTGGCACTCACAGGTCAGGCCAGACGAGGTCAGGAGCTAGAGGCTCACAGGATGCAGCTCCCCTCTGGGGTGCTGTGCTCTGAGTGCCCAGCAGCCCAGCCCTGTGTGCAGCTCTGAGCTTCCATGAAAGGAGGATGAAAGCAGATGGCAGACGATTTTTCCCAGATGACATCCTTACTTAACAAAAGCAAAGCCTGGCCACCCTTGGCCCCTCACGGGCCTCCCAAACTTGCTGTGGTTCTGTAGTTTCAGCTCCCCCAGGGCTAGTGGGGGCAGGACCCCAGCAAGGCAGCACTGTGGGGGGTCACAGAAGGCAAGATTTTCTGGGTCCTCATGGGAAGGTGCCTTCCCATAGCCATAAGGCCATTTTCTGCAATACAAGGCCAGGACCTGGTCATCACGAGGTATGCATGGGGACAAGTGACCTGGCCACAGGGCCTCACAAGTACTTAAGTGGGGACTGCCACCTTCACACTGGACAGTAGGGAAAGGCATGTGTGTAAGCTCCTAGGGGCAGGCAGGATTGCCATTCCTGACTGGAGCAGGGCAGTGGGCACAGCTCAGACGTCACCCCATGTGTTAACCCCATGGGTTAGTGTCTCATGGGTGGACACTAACCCAGCCAACACCTGGCTATGTGAGTGTGCTGCCCCAGGAACATGAAGGAAGCAGGCGCTCTGCACCACATAATAGTGGCAAGAAAGACGGTGCAGCCCAACTGGGAAGAGATGTTCTCAGGGTCACCCAGCCGGGCAGAGGGTGTGCAGAGGTGGTCGAGGGGCCCTCAGCAGCCCCCAGGATATCCTGGTTCATTGACTGTTCAGGCAGGAGGATGACTGAGGAACCACAGGGAAACCGAAGACAGGGGTTCCTTTATACCTGCAGTGGCTGTGACTCACCGAGCTGGGGTTTAACCCCATGTTTGCCTCTACGTAGGTCTCGGTCTTGGGCTCGACAGCCAGCTCGGCTTCCAGAATTTTCTCCACAGGCATGTCCTCGTTGGCACTACTTGTGGACTCCACCTCACTCTCGTTCCGGTCCTTTCCCCGCTGTCTCTCCTCCTGCACCGCTGCACACAAGAGGCACTGTCACCCTGGGCCAAGCCAGCAGCAACAGAGACAGTCCCTCCGTGGTCAAGGCCAGAAAATGCCAGCTCCAAGGCAGTGTGTCCATGGCACCAGCATCCCCACCAGGGGACATAGAGACAGCTCAGCCCCATGCTTGCCCATGTCTGGCCTCCTGGTGGCTGTATGCTCTGATCACAAAGCCCACCTTCATTAATTCATCCAACTAATGTTCACACCAGGAGCCCATCCAGGGCCAGCCAGAGCAGACAGCTTTTCACGAAGCTCAGTTTGCAGGGGTCCCAACTCAGAGTGTTGACTCTGATGGTCAGGGAAACCCAGAAAGGCTTTCTGAAAGAGAAGTAGCAATAAGACTGAAACAAGCAATAAGACTGAAATTCAAGCAGAGGAAACAGCATATGCAAAGGCCCAGAGGCAGTGGGACATGTTCCTGACCAGAACTGGCAACCAGCCAGTGCAAGAGGCACAAAGGCTCAGAGTCCACCTGGGCAAGCATGAAGGCATGTAACCCCTGTCCCTGTGTCCACCACACTGGGCTCTGTCAAAAGGAAGAAACAGGCCTCCAGGCCCACTCCTCCAGCCACATTCGGGCCACATGGTTCTGCTCCCCTCCTCCAAGTGGGCCCTGAGACTGCTCACTCTGCTCCACCCCAGCCTCACACCGAAAGGCAGCACAGACACCGAGACACCTACCAACCCACCCTCTGAGCAGCCCAGTCCTGGGGTCCAGGCAGCACAGCAAGATAAGCTAAGGCAACACCACAGCAGGCATATTCTGCAACCCTGGGGTCACTACCGCTAGGTGCGGGCTCCATCAACTGACTTCAGAGCTGCCCAGTCTGCAGTCAGTCCAGGGGAGTGGGGAGGCCTCCAGGAAAGGCCTCAGCCAGGAGGCTGTTGCCCTCCAAGGAATGCCCACTAGGATGGCAACAGGCTACACCTCTCCTGCAGCCACCTGGGTGGCACTCAGGGACCTGTCCCACCTGCACTGCCAACCTACCTGCTGCATCCAGCAGCTGGAGTGTAGGGACAGGATGAAGTTGGATATGGCCACGTGACTCTTAGGCCACTCCCCTCAGAGTGGCCCTTTCTGAGATCCTGCCCACATGGACAATGACCCTAAGCTGAGGCTCCAATCCTAAGGTGTCCCCTCCCTCCTCCACTGCCCCCCACATTTTCCCTGCCCCCTTGCAGAGAAGGAGCTCAAAGCTCAACAGGCAGAGACTTGTTCAAGTCAGTGAAGAACAAAGACAGAAAAGCAATAGGATCAGGGTCCCCATAGTGTCCTCCGTCCAGTCCACCACCATGTTCCCCACTCCAGCAAAGGCTCTTCTGGTCACTCCTTGCAAACCCCCTATGGTTTTCCCATCAGTGCTCAGATGTTAACAGGGCACTGATTCCTCCCTCCATCACTGCCTCCTGCCCCAGGCTGGTGATGGTCCTAGGCTCCCCTCCCTCCCCTGACTTAAGATGGTGCTTTCTTATGGGCCTGAGGGTATAGCCCGGGAAGGGGCTCCTGGTTATGCTACCTCTCAGGACCTTGGGCAGCCCCTGCATGGGATCTCCATGGCAGGCAGACCACAGCCCAGCAGCATCAGGCTCTCGAGACACCAGCGGTCAGTGGACCAACCTTCCTCTACCTCACTGCCCTGTTGGGGCTGCCCTGCTCAGGCCCACTGGCCGCAAGCTTCTTGAAGAAATGCAAATACAGGAGAACAGGACAGATGTGGGAGGGAGGGGTATGTACACTGTGGCACACTGTGGGACCTCCATGCCCAGCCAGAGCTATCAGCAGCCACCTCCTCTCAAAGTCACCACTCCAAGGAAGTAGCTTTCTTTCATGCCTCCCCTCCCCTCATTCCCTCACTTCTCCTGCCCCAGGAGTGTCAGAATGCCCCATTTTGCTGGCCCCAGGGGACCGCCCAGGACTGTGCAGTTCCTCCCTGACCACAACTAACAGTCTTGAGTGGCCACCTCTCAACACCCCCTCCAGGCCCATGCCAGAGTCTAAAAGGTGTCCTCCCTGGGCTTCAGGCTCCCCTAGGGCATCCTTTCTGCATCCACAGAAAGGATTTGTGGATGCATCCTTTCTGCATCCACAAATGGCCATCCCATGCTGGGGCCATGCTCTCTAATGCCTGCTGCAAGAAGGAGCAGAGGACTTTCCAACCATGCTAGGACCCAAGGATGGGAGGCTGATCCAATGCCTCTAGAAATCACCAGCTGGGCTGAACAGTCAGGCAGAGGCCTGCGGCCAACATTTTGCAAGCCTGGCTCTTCTGGAAAATCTGACAGCAGGTGGGAGTTCAGGGGAGGGGGCAAAGACTGCAGGCAGATGGCACTAAGCCTGCAGGGGCTGCAGAGGCTGCCGGACTCCTGCCTTCACCAGCTGGGCTATCACAGTCTCCACATGGCAGGCACTCTCCAGGTGGGGGTACTCCTCCAGTCCCAGAGACAGGCATGGGCCCTGGGGAACAGAGCCTGTGGGGCAGCCCCACCACAGGAGACCCTGAACAGGCTGATCTTGGCCAAAACCAGACAGGCAGTGTCCCTAAAAAGGGTGCTGATGGGTACCTCCCCAAGTGATGAAACTGAGGCTCAGAGAGCACAGCGGTGTCTGCCCCAAAGCCTGCTTTCACTGACAGCTGTGTGGCCCCAGGCAAGCCCACAACCTCTCTGTGCATCTCAGCTTCCTCACCAGTGAAATACCAATGATGGTACCTGCCTTCAGGATGAACCCTCAGGGAGGTGCCCATACAGAACAGAAGCACCTCCCACCGGGCTGGGCAGCCTTGGGATTTTCTCCAGCTCACAAACAGTTCGAGAGCACAGGGAGCCAAAAAGAAGGTGGCCCTGAGGCACACCCTCCCTTGCCTTGGAGCTAGGCTGGCGAGGGTGTCCTCGGCACCTGCCTCCTCAGCGGGGCGGCCGAGAATTAATTAGCAAATGTTTTGTGAACCACTTTGAAGCTGTGAAGGGCCCCAGCCACTCTCAGCAGCATCATTATAAATATTATCGTTTTATTTATAGACAGCGGAGGGGGCAGGAGGGAGCTGGGGGATTTATGTTTTGCCAGCTCAATCACCTTTTAGACGCAGTCATGTTTGACTTATGTTCCACTGGCGCCGGAAAGCCTCGGGCGGGAGGCGTCTGTAAATACAGCGCCTCGTTATCCTTCCAAGCCCAACTATGAGACGGAGAGTTGGGAGGAGGTGGCAGCAGTGGAAGCCAGGAGACAAATGCAGCCTCGCAGTCCAGGCCTCCTCGGGAATCCAGGACAGGGAGTCAACCCCAGCCCAGGCTGCCCTTCTCCAAGCACATCCATCCTACACGAGGAGACAGACTGGCCCAGGAGTAGGGGAGCAGCAGCCCTTTGGCCAGAGTCAGGTGTACGCTCTGCCACAGCCCCCCGCCCCCGGGCACAGCAGGGCTGGGGGGGTGTCCCAGGGAGGGCAGAGAGTCCAGAAGTGGGAAATCTGGGTATAAGGGCACCGAGGCCCTGAGACAGGTGGGACTGGATTCCACCAACACACTCCGGCTCAACTGCCCCTTCTTAAGGCCTACAGAAAGGAAGCATAGAGTGGGGGCATCCTCCCGGAGGCCACATAGCAAGTTGGGGTCCTTCCAGCTCAGCTCATGGGTCCTCGAGGAAGTCAATCTAGAACAAGGCATCTGAACATAAGAACGCTGTGCACACATGTAGACGCACACGCAGACAGTCACACACACATGCACAAACACGCCGTGAACAATGATGTCCAACCCTACCACCAGCTGGGCCTGGGCTACTCCAACAAGACACAGGGGCCCCTGCTCATGTCCCCCTCCCCCCCCAGTACAGTTGATGACGTTGATCCCAAAGAGGCAAAGTCACAGGGACAGCATGAGAACGCTGCCAGGGCCCTTTCCCTATAGCGGAAACAGGTGGGGACACCTGTATCTGTGCACCCGTGCGTACACCCACACACACTCGAGACACTGCTGTTTCTGCAGCCCCGTCCTCCAGAGCCAAAGGATAGAGTGCAGGAAGCAAAGAGAGGCAGGAAGGAAGTGGAGAGGCGCATTGTAGGGAGGGAGCAGGGAACAGGGTGCACACTGGGCACTCCCCCCATCATCCCTGTCAGGCCCACCTACAGGCCCCCAGCCCTGCCACTGCCTGCCCCAGCCAACAGGCCTGGGCTAGGCCTGGTGAGGGGCCAGGGCCCCACCAGGGCACTCCCCACCCCCCACCCATCGGGGAATGCTGCAGAACGAGCCCCTGCCGGCTGCCTGCAGGTGCAGGCCCTGCTCTTGCCCAATACAGACGCTATCAGCCTGCAGCATCCCTCACCAGCCAGCAGGCTGGGGGCCCCACCTGCCTGGAGCCAGTGCAGCTCCTTCCAGGGCAGGCCCACCCTGTGGGGAGACGTGGGCCCCACTGTGGTCAGCCAGGCCCCAACTTCTCTCTCAGCGCTGTGCCGAGCAATGAGGCCTCTGCAAGAGCCTGGGTTTCCAGGACAAAGCCCAACAGAAGGAAAGCGAAGGTCAGGCACCAAGGCCAACTGGCTGCTTCCCACATCAGGCCTGGTACTTAGCAGGGCCGGAGCGGCCCTCAGGGCCGACAGTGCACGTCCTGCACGCTGTGGGCCAAGCGCCCTGGGTTGGCAGCCTGGCCCCACAGCTTCTCTGAGAACTGCCAGGCTGCCCCACTCATGCAGCCAAGCACTCCCAGCCCTTCCCAGCCACCCGCCCTTGGGTGTCCCTGCAGGGCAAGTTCCCAGGCTGTACTAGGGCTGCCCATACCAAGAAAGAGGCTGTGGTCTGAGTGCCTGGGAAAATGTGACAGGCCTCAGGTGGGTAGACATAAGGCCAGGCGTTGGTGGCAGGGCCCATTGGGCACAGGAGCCTCAAATCCTCCTCCGGTGCCCACACAAATGGCTCTCCACAGTCCACAGGGCTTAGTTCTGTGCTTGCTGTGTTTGGGGCATGAGAGTGCTTTGTAGGACAGCTTTTACTGCATGTTCAGGGCTCATAAATTCAGCTGGAGACAAAGGGGAGGGGGTGCCTTGATGGGATCAGGTGTTTATCTAACGGCCCGTAAATCAGCTGTCAAGGGCTGCACACTACACGGGGGCTGAGGGAACCTAGATACGGAATAGGGCCGACAATGCTGCATGGCCGGCAGGGCTCTGGATCAGGCAAATGAGTACAGACAGATCCTGCCCTGTGCCAACCTGAGCCTTCCCCAAGTCCTCACCTCTGCACCCCACTTCTCCATCTGTGAAGTATGGGCATAGCTGTGAAGTCGGGACATAGGCAGAGGCAGGGTGAGGAGAATATGCAAGAAGAATGGGTAGGAGGGGGCACTGGCCCCCACAGAGCAAGTATGCAACAACACCCAGTTGCTACCAGCACCAAGAAGGGCACTGTAGACCCAGTGGCTCCAGGTCCCCAGGTCCGAGACTACACCACTTCACTGAGATGGGATGGGGTGTCATCCACACTCCCAGGCCTTGTGGGGACCAGGCAGATGGAGTCTGAGAACACAAAGTACCCAAGGACAGCTGTGAGGGTATTGGAAGGAGGCAAGTGAGCTAGAGGGACCCTCTCTGAGCTCAGAGCTGTGGTCTTGGTCACATGCCAGGTCTGCTGGCAGCCTCGGCCTGTGCAGACATGGTTTCTTCTGGCTAGGCACTTGGTGTCAGCGTGGGTTTCCTCCCACTGTGAGCCATGCCTGCTGCCCAAAGTGGGGTCAGGTGCCAGCACCCATGCTTCCCAGAGCCAGTGGCCTGCCTATCTTACAGTCACTTTCAGGGAATAAGAGCTCATATCCTATCACCTGGTACTGTGCCCAGCACCAGAAGCAATGAGCTCCGAGGAGGGAGTGGGCTCAGGGCTCAGCGAAGCTCCTGAGACATATGTGGGGGTCTACCTCCTCCCTCTTGCCACGTACCTACCCATGCACTGCCCACCCTAGGCTCGCCCTTGCCAGAGTTTCTGTCCTTCAGGGACTCTACTGTACTTGCCACCTCCAGCAGGCCCTCCCTGAGGAAATGAGACACCCCAAGGATAGGGGTAGCACTTCTCCCATGGCAGGGCATTCCCTCTTTAAGCCCTCTCACTGCCAAAAGGAACAGGAACCAGAGGCCAGGGTCACAGCCCAGCATGTGACCTTGAACAAGAGCTGAACCTTTGGGCCTCAGTTTCCCTGTCTGCACAGCCAAAAGCAGGCCTGAATGAATGCCAAGTGCTCTGAAAGACACGTGCTGCTCAGAAAGGCCTGGCTGGTAGCATTTGTACACAGCACACCAGCTCCACAGTGCTCAGCTCTGGGTCCCTGGTCACGCTCCTTTCCCCCAGGAGTGGAAATAGAGCTGTCTGCGTCCCCCTGCACCCTGCGTAGGACACCAACCTCACAGCCTACGGGGAGATCCCATGGCTGGTGGCCTGCTGAGGTTTTAGTTTCTCAAGAACAGAGGCCCAGAATGCACAAGAAAGGAAAGGAATGAAATGAGGCAAACAGCAGCACTGAGGCCACCACTCAAGTCAGACCACAGTGGGAAGGGCAGACGCAGGTGGAAGGAGGCAGGACACTATCAGCCACGCGTGTGGCCACGTGTAGAGTAGCCACAGCAGACGAAGCAGACCCTGACCTAGAAAGTACCTGCAGCCCCATGAGGCCCTGGCCTGGCGGCTCAATCTCGCTGAGTCGCCTGGCCAGACACACACACCTAACTAGGGTATCACTCACACACAGGGTCATCAGACACAGGGTGAGAGGGGAGCGCTAAGAGGGAAACCCAAGGTCCATGGCAACAGGATCGGGAGGTCAAGGGCAGGTCAAGGCCATGGGATAGTCTGGACAACTTGACAACTTCTGTAACCTCAGGGGAGTGACCTGCCCTGCCATACATCCGCAAGATGAACCTTGTCAATAAACAGACTCAAAAGTCCTGCTGCCCTGAAAGCCTGTGGTTGACAGGTACTCCCACCAGGGCCAGAAAGCAGCAGAGCCCAAGACGACCTCCCAGGAACCCCTCAACCACTCCAACCCAAAAGTGCCATCCCTCAAGGGTTTCAACCATCCTACTGAGCAGCTAGACAGCCAGACAAGCCGACAGCACACCCAGTGCCCTCTTTTCTGGTCTCCCTACATTTCTTTCCCTACTCCCACCTCCACTTCCAGCCCGGCCCTCGATACACTTCTGGTCAGAATGTTTGTGTGCTACTGCTCATGTCCACAGCCCACGTGCTGGGCCCTGGCCCTGCCCTGCCTTGGCAGAGGCTGTTTGTTCAACACAAGATGGGCGTCACGGGTGGGCAGGACCCAGTCTGCCTGGCAGCAAGCAGGTGCTGAGTAAAGATTTGGATTGCAGGTGAGGGGAAAGGAGAGGGGCTAGTACTGAGGCAAGCTCTGTGGGCAGCAGCTTTGCCAGCACAGGCCTGGGGGCCCCACAGTAAAGCAGCCACACTGGAAGCACGCAGCACCATAACCAAAGGTATAGGAAGGAGCTGAGTCCAAGCACCACCGTACTAAGAATGCCTGGGACAGAGGGCACAGGAGGCCTCGTGGGTCTGATGAGCAGGACATGCTGGCCTGCAGGACATGCTGGCCTACCTTCTCGCTTCATACCCATGGCCAGGCACTTCTGGTAGCGGCAGTACTGGCACCGGTTCCGCTGGCGCTTGTCGATCAGGCAGTCCTTGTTGTCGCGGCAGGTGTAGGTCAGGTCCTTGCGCACCGTCCTCTTGAAGAAGCCCTTGCAACCCTCACAGCTGTACACCCCATAGTGCTTGCCTGTGGGGCAGGGGTGGGTGAGTGGTCACTGATACCCTACTCTGCAGGCTGGCAGGCCAGGGAGCAGGAGGGGCCTCCTGAGTTCAGGCTGGCCCTGGCCTTATCCTCCCTGCTCACCAGAGGACAGCAGCCTTCCTGGCTCCACTTACTGGGGTTGCAGGTCCCGGACCTAAAGACCAGCGTCCCCAGCAAGTGGCCTGCTCTGTGTCTAAGCTACTGCACCCTAGAAGAAGGTGGGCATCATTCATCACCCTCAGGTTGTTGGGGTTTGGTGATGATTCTGGGCCATTCTTGTATGGCCCAGGCTCAGGCCATACAAGAGGCAGCCCTTGCTGCCTCTCAGCTATCCACAGTGGCCTCCTCTCTGGAAGCCTCCAGACCACCCTGCCCACTCTGATTTTGTACCACAGGTGAGAATACCAGATGAGGACCTCAGAGTCACTCCTCACTCCACAGGGCATGGAAAGGGGCTACCCCAGGTTCCTGCCTTACTGCACCCAGCCCACCGTGGGGACACCTATCGAGGCCCACATGCTGTGACAACCCCCACCGTCCCCTCCCCAGGCTTCCCCTCCCCTCCCCGCTCCCCGCAGCCCTACCTGAGGAGCGATCCCCACAGATGGCACAGATGTGCTTGGTGAAAGAGGCCATGTTCCCTGATGGGTGGGCGGGGACCTTGAGGACGCCATTGAGGCCTATCGGGGGTTTGATGTCCTCACTGCTGCTGACAGGGTTCATGGGTGAGTTGAGCTGTAGAGGGATGACCAGGCCAGGTCAGCCTGGGCAGGCTGGTGATGGGCGTGACCACGTGCCACCCATGCTCATGTCCCAGTGTCCCCTCCCCCAGCCACACAGACATGAGGTAGCAGGTCCAGTCCTGCTGAGCACCAGCTGTATACCTGGTCAGGCTGATGGAGGCTGTCCTGCCTTCAGACAGGCAGGACTGCTGCCCCCTCCCAGCAGACCCACAGATCTCTGCAGAGGAGCTAGAGATGCTGAAGATCTCACACACCCAGGACCCCTTGGCTCCATTCCCACACAAGAGTCCCTGCTCACACTCCTGCCTGCCGCCCACCTAAGAGCCACCTCCTGTCACTGAGCACTTGCTATGGTGCCCTGGTCACTCCAAGGGACAAGTGCTCAGGGGCCCCCAGATCACAGATGAAAATAGGAGGCCCGGGCACACAGGGTGGGGGCCTGGCTCAAACACTGCCACACATTCCCCCACCACCCTTGCAGGGCTGTGGTCTCTGGCTGTGACAGGAGAAAGAAACAAGTGGACTCCCCAGGCATAAGACAGAGTGGACACCTTGGCCTCTGCACACCCTGGCCCTGCATGGCAGCCACCAGGGCAAGCGTGGGAAACTCACCCGGTCACCCTGGCAACAGCTGCAGCGTTGCAATGACACAGCAGTTTTGGTTCCGCAGACTCCAGCCCAGCTCTGCAGTCAGCGCAGGGCCCAGAGGCGTTTCCCCCCCACCGTGCCGCCAGCAGCCCGTCTGCCAGGGCGCAGAGCCCCAGCTGGGCGGCCTCCCCCCCCACTTCTGCAAACCCCTGACAAAGGCGGAAAGCAGGCTGTGCAGCCATCCCAGCTGCCACACTGCCCCAGAATAGCCCTGGGCCACCCCTGCAAAGGGAACCTCACCTCCTTCCTTCCCCACAGCTCCCAAGCCCCAGCCCCCTCCCTCACAGGACAGGAAGAAACGTGGTCCCCAAAACAAGCAGAGCAGAAACACCCGAAGCCTCCTCTCATAGGGCCTTAGCGTCTGCACTAATTTTCTTGTCGAGGCCAGCTCAAGGTCCTTCCTGGACTGCCAAGGTGGTCCACAAGGCTCTGTTAGGATGCTTAATGCCTATGGGCCTCAGGTAGGTTGCAGGGAGGCCCAGAAACACTAGGTGCAGCAGGAGAGGGAACCAGACATAGCAGCTGTGGTGCAGGGCAGGCATCCAGAGTCCCCATAGGGGAGAGAGGAGTCCCTGTTGTAACTCGCTGAAGGCCCTGTGTGCACATCCACAGGGATCAGGAGAACATGACAGGCCTTTGCTGGCAGTACTGTGCACAGGCTTGTGCTCACCCTCCACTCACAGCATGGGAAGCCCTGGCACAACACCCTTCCCTTTCCTAGACCAAGACCCTGAGGCTCCAGGAGGCTGGGTTCACATTGTGGCTGAGCAGGGCAGGGGGTGATCACGATGGCCACATGTTTCCCAAGGGGAAAGTGAGGCCTGAGAGGATGGGAGGCCACTCAGAGGGAGGAGGGCATGTTCTGTGGTCACATCTATAGCGAGCTGTTCATGGGTGCCCTGAGAGGGCTCAGGAGTAACAGAGATCAAGACTCTACAGCCTTGCTGGGTAGAGGAGCTGAGAGAAAGCAGGGACAACCCTGAGGCTGTAGTTGGATGGAAGAGCAGCGGGTCATGGCACCAGAGACTCTGAAGACAGCAGAGGCAACACCCAGCCCGAGATCCTGCTCCCATCCTCACATGAGTTACTAAGCATGCAGAATCTCCTGTTGTTGCAGCTATTCAGCACAGGGCCTAAGTCTGAAGGCTGATGTGAAGGCCACAGTGGATGGAACGGCAGGTTCGGAGCAGAGCGAGCACACAGCAGGCGTCCTGTAAATACTACCTTAGGGAGGCCATAGCTGCAGTTCACCCTGGGCCACCAAGAAGAGTCAGCTTGAGCTGGCTTCCAAAGAGGAAAGCAACAGAGAGGGGACCAAAGGACTATCTGGAAAAGAGAAAGGAACTAGAACTGGGGGCTGGGGCCTGGTACTGCTGGGTACAGACTCCTGGCACTCTAGCAGACAGAAAGCCCTTGGGCAGAAAGCCAGGCCAGAAGATGAGTGAAAGGCCCACCCAGCTGCCACCTTCCCTGTGCATGGGAGCCCAACAAATGCCAGATCCCCTGGGCAGCGCCAAGGAGAGCCCTCACACATTTCCTCTTTCTGAGGCTGCCCCAACCACACTGGGGGCCCCTGCTCTGCCCACAGGCCTGGTGCCTGTGCTTAGGTAAACTGATCCATGGCCAGAGTGGTGGGGGTTGGCCACAGCCCCAAGGAGGGATGGGATTGGACAGAGCAGCAAGCCACACTCCCCGGTCAGCTCATGCCAGGCCCCACAGGATCCCAGTGACTTCAGGGCATCCTAAAATCAGACCAGAGACAGCCCACACAGCCTAGAGCCTGATCAACCCCTGACATCAGGGCCAAGCGAAGCCCTATCTGGGGTGCCTACCCTTACTGCAGGCCTGTAGCTGGCCACAAGCTTCATCCAGGCTCTACCAGTGGCCAGTCCTAGTGTGGCAACCATAGCAAGGCTGTACAGAGCAGGAAGGCAGGCCAGGAGGACAGTCCTCCTGCCCTTTCTAGCTCCAAGCTGATGGCCCAGGACTGGGGATCAAAGCTTCCAAACAGAGCACAGGGCAGCCCCTCCCCCATGGGTCCCATAGCCCCCATCTACCTGGGACTTCAGCACTCCCAATCCATCTCCCAAAAGACCCAGCTTGGCAACGGCCCTTCACTAGAGCCCCGAGCTTCCATGCGTGGTCAGAGTGAGGGCCACCCCATTTCCCCTTTCATACTCTTGGCATCTATTTCAGTTCTCGCCTCATCAGTGCCCCACCCAGCACTACCCATCTGCCTGACTCCTCTCTTCCAACCCACCACGCCCTGCCCTTCCAGGCTCAGGACAGGCCCCTCGGCCAGCTCCACTCAGGAAAGCCCACCACCGTGGGGCACGGACAGCAGGCTTCTGTCTGCCCTCAGCCCCTCCATGTTCCCTTTCAGCTTGGCCCCCCCCATCAATGTTGGCCAGCTGCCGGCACCATGAAGTATGCTGGGCCTCCTATGCACCTGCCTTACACCATGGGCCTACACAGGCCCTCACATCAAGAAGCTCGGCTGGGTCACAGACCTTGACGCCTTGCCAGCCCCTCACTCAGCACTTGCAGTCACTCCCTCCCTAGGAGCCAGCACAGTTCCACAGGGCCCATACCCATGGGAGGCACCTAGGGGAGCCAGGTGTGGATAAATAAGTCTCTGAGGCTTGGTGGGGCCCTATTCTGGTACCGCCCCCAGACCAGGCAGGGGACAAAAGACAGCTTGGGTACCAGGTGGCTCTGGCCTGACCTGGCTATACCTAGACCCAGCAAGAAGCACTATGGGGACCCTAACAGCCAGCACATGCCAGCCGGTGAAGCCAGGCAACAGTGGAGGCCAAGTCTTCATTTGCCTTCTTAGCATGCAGCATCAACAGCCAGCAAGAATGGGCGTGGGGCAGCTATGCTTAAAACAAACAAACAAACAAAAAAACGGCCAGGCACAAGGAGGTGGCCTGGCCTCCTCTATACCAGCACCTCAGGCTTCCCACCTGCTTCTGAAAAGCCAGGTGACATGAAAGGGGACAGAATCTTCATGTGCAGGTGCCCTAACTCTTCCATACAAAGGGGCTTCAACTGAAGCCCTAGAGAAGTCCTAGAGAAGCTGACAAGCTTCTCTAGGGAGAGAGGCCCAGCCAGACAGGCAATGGGCTTGTTCCAGACCACAAGCACATCCCAGTCCTCCTGTGCCAAGAGCAGGAAGGGCTCCCCAGAAGGTATTGTGGTTTAATGGGCACGGGGGCTTAGGAATCCACAGAGCACAGCAAGTGCTGTCAGCTGCATGACTGGGCAGGTGGTCACTCTATGTCCTTCCAGGCATGCCACTGGGGGATGGCACTACAGAGCTTCAGGTACTGGGGTATGAATGGCTGAGCCCAAACTTATAAAGTATTTCAGGAAGGACAGGCAGAGCCCCCAAGGACAGGGCCATCAGGTAGAGGACTTGGCGCACACCAAGGATATTAATCTACCAAGAACCACACAGGAGCTGGGAGTGGGGAACCTAGTTCTGTAGGGTCTCTGACAAGAGCACTCAGAGCCTCAAGGGAGAAGAGAGAACTGGACAAGACTCCAGAATCCCCACCAGGCCAGGACCTGCCAGACAACAGCCACTTCCGGATTCACAAACAACACAAAAAGCCCGATGATGCTGGAGGAGCATCAGTGTGAACCCCCACAGTGGAAAAGCATCAAAGTCCTGCAAATGGCCAGTGTCCACAAGGCCATGAGAAGCCCAGGCCACTGAGCAGACTATACCGGTATCTCTGTGGTGCCCAAGGCCCGTCATCCCTACACTGAGTTTGGATGTGCCTCCCCTGCAGGCTCAGGGCACTGAGACCACTGGCCTGAGCATGGGCATGGGGAAGGACCCAGGCCCACACGGCCATGTAGCTCCCAGGGAGACAGGCCGAGCCTGGGGAACCAGAGGGCCAGGTAGAGGAGCTGCTGCAAGGAAGCTGGGCTAACAATACCTGCCAAGTCCAGGCACAAGTCAGCCAGAGCTGAGGTCAGCTGAGCTTCCTAAGGCCCTGCCCGTGTGCTCTAAGTTCTCTTCTGCAGGGAAAAAACAGCTTCCTCTCCTAGGGTCCATGGTCTGCAAGTGAAGCTCCCAGCCCCCCAGTCCTACCCCTCCCCAAGGCTTCAGCCCTGCACTCACCTGCGGGCTGCCAGTGCCGAAGCCCAGGGTAGGTGTGGTGGGCACCGACATGGAGTGGGGGCCCATAGGGGAGCTGATGACGGAGAAGGGAGGGCCCATGCCATTGATGGGTGAGCTCAGGGTGCTGATGGGTGAGTGTAGCTGCCCCGGTGACCCCAGTGGGGAGCCGAGGCCAGGCCCCAGGGACGGATGCAGTGAGGGGGCGGCCATGGAACCCCGGCCTGTCGGAGAGCTGAGGGACGAAGAGTTCACCTGGGTGGAGAAGTCTGCAAGACAAGAACATGCAGGAGGGTGGGTCAGAGTGGCCTTTAGGACCCCCACATTGCCCCCTCCCTCAGGCCACAGACGGGTCTGCAGGAGAATCCCACTCCCAAGGGTGTCCAGCTGATGATGCTTACAGATGCAAATTCACACCACACAAGGCCAGGCCAGGCTGCCAGAGCTCCCTGCCAAGACACCATGGTCCTGCCCAGGCCTGGCTTGAGGCTGACCAAGGCCACCCCAGGGTCAGCACCCCAGGTCTGCCTATTGGAAGCAGGGGGAGGACTGCTCAGTGGTGGGATGAGCCAAGGCCATGCACACAGGGGTTGAGGTGAAGGTCAGGAATAAACCTGCTGTACTACGGGCACTATCATGCTAGAAAGGTCCATCTACAGATGGAGGAAGCAAGACTAAGTTCTTACAGCTACAAAGTCTATGACTTCATACACCAGGCCACACGGCTTGGGCCTCTCAGGCACTACAGCAGAGATAGTCCAGCTGCCAGACCCCTGGGTCCCTCAGACTGGGGGCTCTGGGCCTGTTTGGCAATCATGGGGTTCCAGGAGCAGATGAGGACCAGAGAGAAAAAGAGGGCACCTGGCACTTCCTGTGTGGGTGGGGATCTTCCAGGTGGCCTCATGGAGGGCCTGGGTAGGTGCCAGGCATGAGAGCAGCAGCCCACAGAGCAGGGTTGAGGCAGGGACTTCCCACGTGCCAGTCTTTCATGCAGGATTTCAAAGCCCAGAACAAGTGACTAATTAAGCCTTCCCCACCCATCCTGGAGGCTCAGGAGGCTCCCGGGTGGTAAATCTGTTGCACATAGGCCCAAAAGACCACGGAGAAGACAGCAAGGAACTCTAGACAGCAGAACCTCCAGGCAAGTCATTCTCCCTCTCCTTCCCATGTGCAAAACGGTCTCAGGCCCTTCCTGCTCCTCTCTGAGAGCACATGTGCTTCTAGTAAGTCAAGCAGAACCACAGGCACACAGACTGGCTACAACTAGTTGGGGGACACACACTGGCTGCACCACGCCACACCTCGAGAAGACTTCACCACCCTCCACCTCACTTGCTGAAGCTGTGTTCTTGTACATGCACCTGGGAGGAAGAAGCCCTGAGCAAACAATCTGGGGACACAGCACTGGCCTTAGGATCACTGTCACTGAGGACGTGGCACTCAAACCAGACTTGATTCAAGTCAGCTCTGTGAGACTATCTGCAGAAGTGCTGGGTGACCCATGCAGTGCAGGTGACCCCAGTACCTGGACCAATGCCAGCTCAGAGCCACCAGGACCAGCCCCTCCTGAAAGAGCCTTGCACATCTCCATCCTGTAGCTTCCTGGGCTCCTGGTCCATGCTTTCCCTTACAGGAAGGAGGCTGTAGGAAGGAGGCCTGGCAACAGGTCAGCCAGGTCCACCATGGGGAGGCCAGCTTGGCTGCCATGAGCACCCTGTCTGACCTGAGAGACAGACTCTACGCTCTACCAGCAAATGAGCCTCAACTAACCCACTGGAAGCCTCATGAAGGTGAGACTAAACCATTTTACTGAACTTGAAAACACCAACTTAAGGAATTCTGAAACAGATGACAATGGCACCTACTGGCCAAGTTGAGTACTACAGATCACGCCCATTAGACATGGAGCTTTGGACCCTGTATATGTGGACTTTTAGGAGCCCAGTGTCTCCATGCGTACCCAGGGAAGTCTAGAAGGAGTAGGCAGTGGCTGACAAGAGAAGACAGGCAGGAGAGTATGTTTGTCCAGGAGGGACAAACACAAAATCAACTGCTCAGGACAGCCTGAAATCCCTTTGTAACCCTTGCTGGTCAGAGAAGCTACCATCACCCATCTGTGACAGAAGAGGAAACTGAGGCACTAAGGAGGTGCAAGACAAGAAGTGCCCAAAAGCACACTTCCCCATCTGTAGCTTCCCCAGCCCAAGTGACCACTGTCAAGCCCACTGGCACTGCTGGGGGACACCTGGAAAGACATCAAGATGGCCCCATCACAGCCTCGCCTTGGCTGACCTTCACCAACCCCTGGATGAGGAAACCTGCACCCAAGCATCCATTTCCCCATCTAGAAGTGCAGACAAGTACGCAGCTCTGTGCTGGGCCCTGCGTCTGTGTAGGCTGAGCCCTAGATCAGGCCAGGCCCCCTCTTAGTGCAATTTAGAAACACACCCCCACTGACTCAGAGGCAGAGAGGACGGGAGCTCAAGATCAACCCTGCACACCTCAGCTCTGCAGGTGTGCAGAGGGGAATGGTGACCCTATAGGAAACCAGGCTGGAGACCCACCCCTGAAGACCAGCTATGCCTACATTTCTCCCTGGCCTCTGAGAATAAGATAAGGGTTTACTGCCAGAAGATTTGTCCCTTCCAGACTCTCCCAGTTTCTCCATGTGCCCTTCTCTGGGCAGTCACGAGTGGAATGGGGCAGCAGGCTCAGAACTGGACAAACGACAGGGTGTTTTGGGCCAGCTTGCCATAACATCCTGGGGGTGGCTCTCCCTAGCCAGCTGTCCCCAGACAGCTGCCCATGGCCCCCACAGGGGAGTCTTTCTGCCCAGGGAGCCAGGCTAGAGGAGGAAAAGGACCTCTTGGCCTAAAATTCTACGTGGTAACCTGTAGCCACACCAGGCACTGGAAGTAGGTCTTGGGCTTCAGCTGAGCCTGAGTGGATAGACATGGCCCAAGCTGCTGGGCTGGCTGTGAACTTGATTGCTCTCCCTGGCAGGAAGAGGAGGGTGTGGTAGGAGAAAGCTTCAGCCGGAGGAAGGAAGGAAAGAAGGAGGGAGGAAGAAGGGGCCAGGCTGCTTGGCTGTCAGCTACCAGGCTAACCCCCAAGGATATTCTGCCCCCTCCCCAGGCACGTCCATACCTGGCTCAAGTCTGAAACTGCTGAGGAGGGGGCGCTAATCAGATGGAGGAGGAAACTGGCCAAGAGGGGTATGGGAAAAGGAGACACAGGGACAGGAGCACCTCATCTCCAGCCTGGGGGTGTGGCCACTTCTCACGTTAGGGTTCCCTGCCTCAACCCACCCCCAAATGTCCCACAGTTCCCCCAACCAGGCTGTGAGCCTAGGGCTCCAGGGCTAAAGGGGCAGCCACACCAGCAGTGCCTGCCCCAGGAGGCCTGCACTGCCCCCAGGCTCCCACCCCAGGCCTTCCTGTTTACACAGAATGTCCACAGCAGACACCTTCCCCGAGCCTGGGCGACAATGGGTTGGGTGTGTTTTCTGGAGTCTTCTGGAGAGAAACACTTTCTGGCCAGGAAGGGAATGGGAAAAAAAATGTCTAAACATCCTCTGCCTGCAAAGCAGAGTCCTCCTGCCTGCTGTCCTCCACGTGCAGGCATGGCTCTGCCTAGTTGTGATAAGGTGTTCTGAAAAAGCCACACTTTGGAGTTGAAGAAGACTTGGTGCCAGCTGGTTCCCACTGCTCCTGGGACCTACACACTTATGCACACATGCTGCAAAGGGGGCCTGTGGAAGAAGGGGCCCAGGGCTACACTGTGCCAGCATCAGACCCCCTGCACCTAACCCAGGAGCTAGCAGACACACAGCCCCCCCTACCGAGGACTGCAGAGGGGCCTCAGAGGGACGCCGACCTGAGAGGCAAAACTGAATCGCCAAATTTTGCAACCCTGGACCTATGAAACTCAGGGCCCCACAATCCTAGAACCTCACACCCCTTACCCTACTAGGCCCCTCCAGTACCAGTAGCAACTGCTATAAGCCAGGACCCTGGAGAAGGAGGTCATGGTCAGGGAGGTCACAGAGATCTTAGGAATGGACAAGAGAGAGGAATGCAGACCCCTGACCCTGGCAGTGGAGATGCCTCAGCAGCCCCAGATGGCAAAGGTATCTATGCGGCTGTTAGACTGCAATCCGGGAAGGCTGCATAGAAGAGGCGGTGGTAAGATTGCTGCCTTGGTGCAACACTGACTCCAAAATGCAGATGGCTGGCCACAGAACCAGGAGCCAGTGTGGAAGAGATGAAAAGCCTACTGCCCAGCACCCAGGGCCCCAAAGGGTGGACATGGTGAGCTGAAGTGACATTTAGTAAAACCAAAATGTAGAATGCTTTCATTATAGCTCCTGCCCAGCAACAGCCCAGGCATCTCCGAGGTGCTGGGCACTCTAATGGTTGTGTGCAAGCAGCAACTAGCCATCAGTCAGGAAGAAGCACCTGCCCACCAGAGCTCCAGAGCCACATGGTTCCCTCCAGAACACTACCCACACAAGACCCTCTTGGCCCTCCACGCCCCAGCAGAAAGCCCAGGGAACCCTCACCAACTCCCTTCCGGCCTTTGCCTGGCAGGTGGGGCCAGAGGAGGTGGCAGGAAATACCAGCCTGGTGCTGCTAAAATGCACCCCCCAACGTCTCCTAGGCAGCCAGGGAACTCCAGCCTTGAAGAAGAGAACTGAAGGCTCCCCTCAGCCCTTTGGGATTTGCAGAACCAACCCTGACAGGGTCTGAGCAGGCCACAGGTTGGTTAAGGGAGTAGGCCACACGTCTGCATGAACAGACAGAGAGAAGAGGATGGTACAATTGCCCTGTCCAGGGCCTAGCAGGAAGCCCCACAAAGGGGCTGGTCAGGGAAGAGGGAACCTGGGGCTCGAATAGGACTGGAGAAGGTGCCCAGTATATAGAGAGGCCTAACACACAGGCACTCATGATGAGTCTGCACCCAGACAGGAACCAGGTTCTGAGCATGGTGTCCCCCACCCCAGCCTGGGGACCCCCCCGGAACCGAAACCCTGAGGTGGGTGGTTAGCGGGCCCTCAAAGCTTCCTGGGCCACCCAGCTCCAGCCCCCACCTTCCGGAAGAACTGCTTCCCCTGCCACCCAGTGAGGGAGAAGTAGCAGCCCTGGCAGGGGGTGGTAAGGACTTAGAAGGACTGAACCACAGCACCAAGGTTTAGGGGCGGTTAAGGGTGGTCAGGGCAGTAGGGAGGAGGAAGGAATCCCACAGCCTCACGGGTAGGGACCTTCAGGAA